CTCTACCCGTTATCTCTAAATTTTATTTTATTGCTTGCTTTTAACACATTTAAAAGAAATACAAATGTTTTCAATTACAGATACAGCTAGGAATGACTTATGGCAAAATCCTCATGAAATTGAAGTACAAGGACGAGGTAGATTACATTCATTCTAAATTTCAAAGTTGTCTTTTTAAAGAGGGGTGCACCTTGACTGATGTGGCTCAGTGGATTGAGCGACAGTCTATGAACCGAAAGGTTGCCAGTTTGATTCCCAGTCAGGGCACATCCCTGGGTTGTGGGCCAGGTCCCCATTTGGGGGCATGTGAGAGGCAATGGATTGATGTATTCATGAACATTGATATTTTTCTCCCTGTCTGTCACCCACCCTTCCCCTCTCTCTAAAAATAAATAAACTAGAAAAGGGGGAGCATGTAGGTAACAATGGTTATTTTCCAACAACTCAACTTTTGTTTTAATGTCTTTTATTCTATATTAGTATCTTCCCCTGTCCCCAACTTGATTAATGTAGTTTAGAAAATGTTGTTTTTTTCCTTTACAAATTGAGCTAAATAGTTTCTATGTACCCCTCCCCAAATTCCATGTTTCTATGGTTAGTTTAAAAATATAATGTTATGGTGTTTGATAAAGTCATGTAGAGTGAGGAAGCATTGATGCTTGATGTGGAGCGCTAAACAGATTACACCAGTGAAATTGAAGCAGTAATCAAAAAACTCCCAACAAACAAAAGCCCTGAACCAGGTGACTTCACAGGCAAATTTTATCAAACATTCCAAGAACAACTAACACCTCTGCTCCTCCAACTATCTCATAAAATTCAAGAAGAGGGAAGGCTCCCAAACTCATTTTACCAGGCCAGCATTATCTTAATTCCAAAACCAGATAAAGACACTGCAAAGAAAGAAAATTACATGCAATATCCCTGATGAGCATAGATGCTAAAATCCTCAACAAAATATTAGCAAACCAAGTACAGCAACACATCAGAAAGATCATACACCAGGATCAAGTGGGATTCATTCCTGGAATGCAAGGTTGGTACAACATTCACAAGTCAATACGTGTGATTTACCACATAAACCAAATGAAGGCTAAAAACCACATGATCATGTCAATAGATGCAGCGAAAGCATTTGATAAAATCCAGCAATCATTTACAATAAAAACTCTCAGCAAAGTGGGAATAAAGGGATCACACATATACATAATAAAGGCCATATACAACAAACCCACTGCCAGCATCATACTCAACCAGCAAAAACTACAGACATTCCCCTTAAGACTGGGAACAAGACATGGATGTCCACTTTCACCTCTATTATTCAACATAGTACTGGATGTGCTAGCCACAGCAGCCAGACAAGAAGAAATAAAAGACATCCAAATTGGAAAGGAACAAGTGAAAGTCATTATTTTCAGGTGACATGATTCTGTGCATAGAGAACCCCAAAGATTCCACCACGAAACTACTAGAAATGACAAATGAATTCAGCAAAGTAGCAGGATACAAAATTAATGTCCGGAAATCAGTTGCATTTTTATATGTCAATAACAAACTAGCAGGGTAATCAAGAAAACAATCCCATTCATAATTGCTTCAAAACAATAAAATACCTAGGAATAAACTTAACCAAGGATGTAAAAGACCTATACTCAGAAAATTGTAAGACACTGAAGAAGGAGTTGAAGAAAGTACAAATAAGTGGGAGCAGCCCTGGCTGGTGTGGCTCACTGGATTGAGTGCCAGCCTGTGAACCAAAGCATTGTATGTTTGATTCCCAGTCAGGGCACATGCCTGGGTTGTGGGCCAGGTCCCCAGGAGGGAGCAAGGAAGAGGCAACCACACATTGATGTTTCCCTCTCTCCTTCCCTTCCCCTCTCTCTAAAAATAAATAAAAAACAAATAAGTGGAAGCACATAATGTGGTCTTAGATAGGAAGAATTAACATCATTAAAATGTCCATACTACCCAAAGCAATCTATAGATTTAATGTGATTCCTGTCAAGATTCCAATGACATTTCACAGAACTAGGACAAATATTTCAAAAACTTATAAGGAACCAGAAAAGGCTCCACATAGCAACATCTATGCTGAGAAAGAAGAACAAAGTTGGAAGACTCATGCTACCTAATATCACACTGTACTATAGGGCCATATTAATCAAGACAGTATGGTACTGGCATAAAAACAGACACATAAATCAATGGAACAAAATAGAGAGACTGGACATAAATGCACATCTTTATAGCCAATTAATATTTGACAGAGGAAGCAAGCACATAAAATTGACTAATGATAATTTACCCAATAAATGGTGTTGGGAAAATTGGACAGATATGTGCAGAAAAATGAAACTAGACCATTGTTACACCACTTACAGGAATAAATTCAAAATGGATCAAAGACTTAAATGTTAGACCCCAACCCATAAAAATCCTAGAAGAAAACATAGGCAGCAAAATCTCAGACATTGCTCATAGCAATCTTCATCAGATATATCTTCCTAGGCAAGGGAAACAAAAGAAAAATAAAGAAATGAGACTATGTCAGAGTAAAAATTTTTTTTGCCCAGCAAAGGAAATAATCAACAAAATAAAAAATAACCCATAGAATGGGGGAACATATTTGCTGGTATATATATATATATATCTGATAAGGGTTTAATATCCAAAATTTACAAAGTACTTACAAAACTCACCCACCCACACACAGACCCAATTGAAAAATGTGCAAAGGACCTGAATAGACACTTCTCCAAAGAGATCATACGAGTGGCCAATAGACATATAAAAAGATGGTCAACGTCACTAATCATTGGAGAAATGCAAATTAAAACCACAATAAAATACCATCTCACATTTGTTAGAATGGCTGTCATCAATAAGTCAATAAACAAGTGCTGGCAAGGATGTGGAGGAAGAGGAACTCTTTTGCACTGTTGGTGGGAATGCAGATTGGTGCATCCACTGTGGAAAGCAGTATGAAGATACCTCAAAAAATTAAAACTGAATCTGCCTTTTGACCCAGCAATCCCACTTCTGGGAATATATCCAAAAGAACCCAAAACACTAATTCAAAAATACATAAGCACCCCTATGTTCATTGCAGCATTATTTACAATTGCCAAGATACGGAAGCAGCCCAAATACCCATCAGTAGATGAGTGGATGAAACAACCATGGGACATTTACACAATGGAATACTACTTGGCTATAAGAAAGAATAAAACTTTACCCTTTGCAACAGCATGGATGGACCTGAAGAACATTATGCTAAGTGAAGTAAGCTAGTCAGAGAAAGACAAATATCATATGATTTTGTCCATATGTGGAATCCAATGAACAAACTAGACTAACAAGGAAAATGGGGACAGGCTCATAAATAGAGAGCAGGGTGACAGGTAGTAAGGTGGGGGATGTTATGGGGCTAATAAGGTGGGTGGGTAGATGGAGCAAAAAGGAAAAAGGACTCACGGACATAGACAACTGTGGTGATTGCTTGGGAGAGGTGATATAAGGGTTATAAAAGGAAGTGTAACAAAAATACAACAAAAACATTTAAAAAATAAAAACAACTGGAAAATAAATTATAATGTAAAGTAAGCTACCGAAGTTAATAATATTGTTTACTTTATGTTTCATAGCGTTCTAGATTTGTTTTTATTTTACTTAGTTTATATTCTATAAAGGCTTAAAATTTTAAACAAATGAAAGTGAGTATATTTAATCAAAATTTTAACCAAGTTTCCCAATGAAGAGAAATTTGTTGAGAGGTAAAAAGAAAAGAGAAAGAGACATTTATAGAATTTCAAAATACATTAAAAATAGGCTTCTTATAAACTTTCTTAATTTTCCCATAAGGAATATTTTTATAGCAAGAACAGAAGTGTTTAGCTACCATATTTATAGTGAATTCTAGTCTGCTCAAACTCAGGATGAAACATACCTTAATATCTACAGATATTTTAAATGGTTGGTTGGGGTTGTTAAAGGTTTTAATGTATGAAAATATAGTTGTATCTCAAGATACTTTAATGAAGTATAAATAGAAAAACTGGAAATGTTCCATATATGTCCAGTCCCAGGGTGGAAGTTGCCTTGCTGTACTGGGAGGCCGTTCATGGCTCTAGAAAAAGTCTCATTGAAATTGATGAAGCAGATGAATGGATGAATTGTAGGGGGAGTCTCTAAGCTTCAATTTAAAAAACCAAAGATCTGAGTTCATGTAGATTGCTTTGTTATACACTAAAGCTTATTTATTTCAAACACTTCATCATATTGATGACAAAAAGGCTATTCAGTGTTTGGAAATGACCATTTTCAGACTGATTCTAGTTGGAGTTTTTAAGGTGTTCTTCAGTAGGTCTTAGTTATGAAGGCAACTTCGTTATCTTTAACATGGAAGCAATTGGTGGCAAACATAGTTCAAAATAGTGGGTATTGTAATAGTTTTGACATGGAGATATATTTACTACTTGCAATCTGAATATGGATGATGATCTTCATAGCAGGGTTTCATTCAAATAAAGTAAGATTTCTTTGTGAGAAGCTAAAACAAAATGAAACCAATGACTATGCTATTTGCTTAAGAGATAGGACCAAAATCTCCCTTCTCATAGTATCTAATTTTTTAATCATACTAAAAATTATTAAGGAAATAATAAGGGGATTGGTGAATTTTAGATATCAAAGTTAAGGGATTTAGTTTCCATACTGAGAATTTTTTTCATGTTTCTCTTTCCAATGTTACATTATCTCAAGCAAGACAGACGTACCTTTAGCCTAAAATTGATAATTTTGCTCCTTCCTTTGATGCCTTTTTTTCTTTTGAATGTATAGGTAAGAATTATGGTATTTATAAGTGCCAGGTATATTAGACTTTTAAGTTTCTTTTATAAGTAAACCATTATGATATTAAAATTTTGTATTCATGTTTAGTTGTATTTTTGTCATAATTTTGAGTTACAACATCACTTCATTTTTTCTTTCTTTGTTAGATACACACAAGTCCATGTTTTTATCAGTCTTCTGAGAAGAGCCAATTCTTACCATTAAAGACAAATCTTTGGCACTGGTTGAATCCTGGAGATAGTTTTTCTTTATTAGTTGACAAGTACATTTTCCGTGTTTTCTCTACATATTCTGAAACAGAATTGGAATCTACTTTAAGGTAAGATTGCCTGATGAAATGAGATTGTGTAATGGTATTTATAATCTAATTCCTCAGTCGTGCACAAATGGTTCCGTAGAGACCACTCTAGTATTAAACTATATTGGTGATATAGGAATTATGTGGTATGTGTCTGTGTATGTGAGTGTGTTTCTAGAAAATAGTTGGCTTTGGAAATACATGCCTCAGTCATGATTGGTCCCATATGTGGTGTCTTTTTCTGTTATTTTCCATCTAACTGTAACCAGGATAGTTAATTTTAAACTGACTACATTTTCTTAATCTTTTTGTTAGATTTAAAAATTTTATAAAAGTATTAACCTCAGGTTTAGACTAAAATTGTTTAACTTCTCTTTCTTATAAAAATAACAAAATATACAATAGGGAAACTGGGGAAATGAGGTAGTACATTAAACATCTGGTATAAAGTTAAAATTAATGCACTACTTTTGTTGAGGCAATCATTAGCAGATTATTTGCCTTTGTTTCAGCTTTTAAATTATAGAATACATAAACTGGACCTATAGAAGTAGATGGACAAAATTATAGAGTGTGTTCTTTAATTGCTCTGGTGTTAAATTAAAAATCAGTAATAACAAAATATTTAGAAAAATCTCCAAATATTTTCAAATTAAACAACACATTCCCAAATAACCCATGGGTCTAAGAAAATCATAAGGGCAATTAGAAAACATTTTGAATGGAATAATACTAAAAATACAGCATAAAAATTTGTGAAATGCAACTATGGTAGTCCTTAGAGGGAAATAAAATCACTAATTTATGCTTCTACTTTAAGAAAATAGACAGGAGCAAATTAATCCTGTAGTAGACAAAAAAAAAAAGAAAAGAAAAGAAGAAGAGTGAGCCTAAAAGTCAATGAAATCAAAACTAGACAAATAAAATTAACAAAAACCAAAAATTGGTTTTTTGAAAGATTTATAAAATTAGAATAACCTTATCAAGGCTTACCAATAAAAAAAAACCTGGAAGACACAAATTATCATATCAGTAACAGAAGAGGGGATATTATTACTGATCCTGCAAACCTTAAAAGAGTAATGAAAAAATATTTAAAACTTAATTCCAGTAAATTTGACAGCCTAAGTGATTGGATACATTCTTTGAAAAACATAGTTTACCAAAACTGATACAGGAAGAAACTGAAAGTGATGAATCCTATATCCTTTAAAGATACTGAGTTCACAAGTTAAGAATATCCCATAAGGAACTTTACTAGTGGATTCTCTTTAACTTTCAAGAAAGAATACTAATATTACACCTTTTTGCCCAAAATGGGAGAGGGTGTGCTTCCTCATTAATTTTATGAGGATTAATTTTAATTCTGATATCAAATTCATACAAGAACATTACAAGAATATAAAATATAAGCCTATATTCCTTATAATAACATATTTACAAATATGGATTTATCAAATCCAGTAATATATAAAAAGCATAATACACATTGACCAAATAGAATTTTTCCAAAAAATGCAAGGGTGGATTTATCATATAAAAATCAGTCAGTCATTGATACAATTCACTATTACAGATTAAAGAACTATCAGTAGATGCATAAAAATAGTTTTGACAGACAGCTGTTGATAACTAAAAATAAAACACCTTTCTAGGAAGTAATTTTTTCCCATGAGAAGCTCATACTCAGTTATGAAATATTGGAAGTTCTTTCCCTAAGACTGGGAACCAAAGACGTCTATTTGCACAACTTTTATTTATCATTTACTGGAGGTTCTAGCTAGTTCAGTAAGGCCAGAAAAAGAAATGAAATGGGTAATATTGGAAAGGAAGTAGTAAAACTGTTCTTATTTGCAGATGATGTGATTGTATACTATGAAAATCCTGAGGAATCTACCAAAGAAGCAAGACACAAAACAGAACCTACTATACAATTACACTTATATTCTATAATAAGCAAACTAATCTATACTGGTAAAATCCAATCAATGGTTATTTCCAGGGGGGTTAACTAGGAAAGGGCACAAGGAAACTTTCTATGGTGATGGACATGTTCTATGTCTTGATAAGGGTGGTTACATGGTTGTACACATTTGTCAAAACTGACCAAACATTGCACCTCAGATCTGTGCATTTCAGAGTATATAAATTATATCTAAAGTTTAAAACTAGTAGATGGAAAGAAATTATGTCAGGAAATTGGTTTTTATTTTGGTTAAATGACTTCAATAACCATGGCTTGCCATTTTAAAGTACAGATCTTACTCTTTTTTTTCTTATCGCACCTGTATAAAGAATGCTGTTTTTGGCTGGTGTATCCCTCCACCCCGTGCCCCTCTCCTTTCTTGGAGAGTGAATAAAAACGTTATTCTCTACATTTTCTTCTCTTTGTGAATTCTTTCACAGCCTGTGTCACCGACCACCCTAACAGAACCCTCAACCTTAATTTATCTGGATGATGTTCTAACCAACTGAGCTATCCAGCCAGGGCTTTTTTTTTTTAACTGATTTGAGAAAGAAAGAGGAAGGGAAAGACAGATGGAGAGAGAGGGGGAGAAAGAGAGACCATTTAATGAATTTTTACAAAACAAGACATAGAAGATTTCCAAGACCTGAGAACTTTTCCTCATGCTCCTTTTTATGCAATACGCCTCAAACATTCACAGCGAAGCATTTTTCTGATTCTTGTCATCACAAGTGTGTTTTACCTGTTTTGGACTTCATACAAATAGAACCATATAGTGTGTATTCTTTTGCAGCTACTCTCCTTTGCTCAAAAGAATTGAGTAAAATAGGCCATTGCTACATCTTGTCATGATGCATAGTTTTGTGCCAGGAAAATGGATGCTGTGTAACTAATTTCTGTGTCAGTCTCATGTGATGCATCTGACTGGCGTAATTTATCCCACATATCTACAACCAGCAGCAAGGAGACTGGGAATTACATGTTTGGATTCTTCACTAAGATGAAAGATATCTACCGTGGGTAACTATCAAAACATGAAGAAGTTATTCAGAACATTCTGATTAGTCACACATGACATATATCTGCTACCTACGAAGTCCTTCAGTAAAGCCTAAAAACTTGTATAATGGTTAGTTGTGGTGCTGTGGGGAACAAAGGGAAAGAGAGGCTAAGTGGAAGTGATGCTCAGGCAGAGGGAATCACATACTACTGACAGCCTATGCCTAAGAAGCCCAGACTCTAGCAGCAAAATGACTAGTTTCTAGTCACTTTGAGTGGTGGTTGGTATGCAGCCCTGAGCAGCAGAGAGAGCACATGATTCCATCATCAATGTAAGAAACATTCAGACCAGTAGAGAATTTTTGGTAAGTTTATTTGAGCCAACTGAGCACAATTGCTGGGAAGCAACATCTCAAAAAATTGAGAAATGCTCTGGAGAATGGCAGTTTAGCACTTGATTTTATACATTAGAATCAAAGGAGGAGCCATAAGGGGGTTACAGGAAATCCGTTAGTGATAGATTAGGGGAGGCAGGAGAAAGCAAAGTGGGGAAAACAAACAAAACAAAACAAAAGAATGCTATTTTTTAACCAGCTGCTGACATGAAAAATAGAGAAACTAATATATTTGCTATCATAAATTCCCATAATAGAATTACATACTTTTTTTGAAAATCAGGAAAATGCTGCTGTACATTTCTATGCAACAAAGTATGGTCATTTCCTGATAATTTATTTACATTATTATATGTCAATTTTAATTTTATGTATATCTTTTCAAATTGGCTTATCCCCTTGGTGTGAAGGATTACTTAGATCAGATTGTACCTCAGTGGATTTTGAATTTTTAAAAAAATTTTATGTATTTATTTTTAGAGGGGGAAGGGAGGGAGAAAGAGAGAGAGAGAAAAACATCAATGTGCGGTTGCTGGGGGCTGTGGCCTGCAACCCAGGCATGTGCCCTGACTGGGAACCGAACCTGTTATACTTTGGTTCACAGCCCGCGCTCAATCCACTGAGCTATGCCAGCCAGAGATTTTGAATTGTTTTTAGTATTGATAAAACTGAAAATACAGCCCACTTTAAGAACGCTGTACTTTTTTTCAGGCTATTTATTATGAGGAATGTTATCTGGTGTGTAACTGCTGTTGAGCCAAATATGTTGAAAGAGGTAGTAAATGTTTTGGTAATTTTGTGCCTAGTTTAGGGTAACCAAATTAATTGTGTTTTTATATTAAAAATTAAATGTTTTGCTTTTAGCTTGCTAGTATAAAATTTCCTTCAGGGGGCTGATTTTACTTTCAGCACTTTTTAATTTTGTGATTTTGAGTTTTCAAATATTCCCATGATAATAGAATGATCTGTGATGTGTAGTGATCATTTTCATTATTTTCACTTCCATCTTTATCAGTCGTATAGTAACCATAGTTGAAAGACCATTTTCCTAAAGATCAGTTTAACTATAATAGCTAATTTTAACTGAAGATATTTATCATATATGCATCATTCAGTATACAAGGTCTGTCTAGAAGGTATCCAGCCATGTAATATGAAAAATAGACATAATGAAAAAAAGAGACATTTATTGAAGATACAAGAAACATTGCACATAGGACAGTGGTGCCTCAGTCCCCTTCCAAGTAGGCACCTTGGGATCTCACACAGTTCTCCCAATCACCATCAACTTCCCTGCTGTATTTTCCTGAATCTCATAGATGATCTGAAATCTCTTCCCTTTCAAGGGTGATTTTAGTTTTGGGAAAAGCCAGAAGCAGCAGGGTGCCAAATCTGGGCCAAAGGGGGGCTGAGTCACCTGGGTGATTTGATGTTTCACCAAAAAACTCTGCATGATATGCAATGCATGAGTGGGTGTATTGTTATGATGAAGCTGACAATCACCAGTTGCCCATAGCTGCGGCCTTCTGAATCACCCAAATAGCTTCCAAGGAAGAACATGCAAGCTAAATGCAAAATATGATGCAGATTTGTTGCTCTGTCTGCTCATTTTGAATGTGATGGCCACACAGTACACATGCTCACTCAGTGGCATCTGCCACCCCCACTGACTAGTAACAGTGAAGTCATCATTGTTCACACATGTGCATTCCAGTTCACTGTTCTTGGCTGCCATACTACATCGATGTCACACAAACTGTTCTTGTTATATTAACAACTGTTGGACATTCTCCAGACAGACCTTGTATCATTTAACGCATATAGCCCTCCCTTTTAAGTATTTTGGCAATATTTCATTCATTTAAGGATGTTTTTGCTTTCACTTGTTAATCATTTAACCTTTGAATAGGCAGAATAAAGATGGACTGAACATACTCAATACTTTCTCAAAAGGGGCTATGTATTAGAATATACGTTGGCAAACTTCCTTTGTAATTATTTTAGGCTTTGCAGACCATTTGATCTATGTCTTAATAACTCATATCTGCTCTTCTGTTTCAGTAGCACTTTATTTACAAAAACAGGTAGTAGGTTGGATTTGGACTGTAGCAGTTTGCTGATACCTACATTAGAGCAAAAGCTAAGTTGCTTAACAAAATGACCCCCCCAAATGCAGTGCTTAAACAAGAATGAATATTTTTCTGTCCCATAAGAGTCCAGAGTTTTAGGAGTGCTCTCCTTCATAATGTAATTCACATACTCCAGCTAATGGAGTGGCTCTGTCATCCTCAATAGATAGCTTCCAGAATAGTTTCATCTTTGGTGTTCTTAATTGGTAGGAAGGAAATGAAGAGGAGAATCTAGGACAAGTGTGTTGTACATACCACTTCCATTTACACTCCCAGGAAAAAAGAATTAGGCTCATGGCTACACAGAATTGCAAGGAAAGCTGAAAAATGCGGTCTCCAGCTAGATGGTCAGACTTTGGTACAGATGCTCATTGATCAGTGCCATTCCAGCTTTGCTGTCTGTTACACCAGTAACATCCACTTAGCCTCCGATAGGTGATGCTAACCATCTGGCCTGTACAATTCTAGAATCCTGCCCTCTCCATTGCTAATAAGGGGCCCTGTGTTTTGGCAGCCTCCCCTACCACCAACACAGACCTATAGAGGCAGCTACTCTTGAGGTCCTCAGCACTGCCTCACTAGTGTATACCTTCTTGCTTATCGTCTGGGTCCTTCTGGGGAACATAATCAGCTAGTGGATTGTCTAGTCTAAGGACTCATGGACATGCACAACAGTGTGGTGATTGCAGGGGCAGGGGGGTTAAATGGTAATGGGAAAAATACAATAAAAAGATTAAAAAATAAATCCATTTCAGCATGCCTGCCTCTTTGTGTTAGCAATCAACTATCTATATAGTTCCCCTCACTCTGTCTCCAGCCCCTGGCAACCACTGGTCTGATTTCTGTCCCTGTAGGTTTACATCTTCAGAATGTCATATAAATGGAGTCATAGGATATATAGCCTTTTAGTATCTAGCTTCTTTGACTTCACGAAATGCCTTTGAGGTGCATCCATGTCATTGTACATAGCAGCAGTTAACTCCCTTTTAACTCTAAGTAGTATTTCTATGCCTAATGTCAAATTTTCAAAAAGATAAATTTTGGGGGTCATCTCTCTGCCTACCTAAGTAATAATGATGCAACAACTTTGCATGATCTCACTGCAATTTGTAGCAAGCAGAAAGTGATGGGCTTAGCTGTATGTTCCACATGTGACCATGGGTGCTCCTGCTTCAGAACATTTAGCTTTTGGTCAGGCCACAAGTCTGGGGAGATTGTACAAGTGGCTTTCCTGGCCAGGGCCCTAGGAGCAGCTGTGTAGGAACTTGACATCAGGGTTTTATTTATTTTATTTGTCAAGAGCTTAACTTAGCTGGTACACTTTCAGTTGAATTTTCTCCTTGGACGCTGTGAGGTGTCCTTAACTTTTATGGACTATCTGGACAAATATTGAATTAAATGAGTAAATAGCTTTTAAGCCTTGACAAAGATGGCTGCTCCTCATCTCATCAATAGCTGTGGTTTTTAGGCTCATGATTTGGAAAGATTAATGTATTTTATGGTGACACTGTGGTCAGAAGAGGAAGAACATATTCTAGTCTATATATTTTGTTATATTATACTATAATCTACTTTTTTTTGTTCTGCTAAGTCTAAAAAAAGTAGCATAACTCATTAGATGACTCATTAGTAGACATAACTCCCAAGTGAGAGACTCACACTTATAATGGCATGGTAGGCAACAGAAGTGTTTTAAATTTAAGTGATGAATCGATTTTATTTTATTTTATAGAAACAGCCAAATGCTTGATGCAGATGATATGTTGAATGAAACACCAGAATCACCCTTGGCGAAGTTGCCTGATAAGAAAAGTGGTGCCCCACAGCTGGAAAGAAGCGCAGAGGTAGCAACAGCTCAGACTTCTACCACGAAAAGTGTGGTGAGAAGTTTAAGATGTCATCCATTTATAACATGTCCCTTAAGTTATTTTGAGGAGAGAAAAGACAACTAAAATTAGATATATCAAAACAATATTGTTAGCATTTTTCTGCTTTTGCTCTTTTTAAGTTAAACTCTAGAGGATATCACACTACCAGAGGTGTCAAACTCATTTTCACAGGGGCCACATCAGCCTCTAGGTTGCCTTCAAAGGGCCAAATGCCATTTTAGGGCCTTATAAATGTAACTATTCCTTACCTAGGGGCAAGGAGCTCAGTGCTGCCACCAGGAAGAAACAAGGTGCTGGGCTGGATAAAACAAGGTGGAGGGCCCAATTCGGCCCGTGGGCCTTGTGTTTACCACCTGTGCTCTAGACCAGCACTTCCACTAATAGAGACCATGAATTTCTGTCTTTGAGAAATTTGACTAACTCGCTCCACAGTTGCAGATGGGTTTTTTCATGGTAGTTTTCTACCAAGAAAATAATTTTACAGTTTTATTAAGGATGCATGCTTATTTTTTAGTAATTAATAAAATAGGTGCCTTTTTAGTCTTTCCTAGGTGAATGTTCAGACTTCAGTAAGCAGCAATTAAACCCTGCCCAGAGGAAAAGAATCCTTCCAGCGTGGATGTTAACAGAAAATCTAGGTGATTAAAATCTTTCAGCATCAGTTATCAGTGGAAGTAGATTTCGTTTCAAGAAAACATTAAGCAGAATTTGAAACTTTTTCTGAGCAGATGGAGGTAGAGTGGTGTTGTGTAAGTGTATAACTTACCCTGCCCTTTTTTTTTTCAGATGTGTACGTGAAGTCTAATTTAAAACACAGGCTATTATTTTATGCCATTATCAAATATCCTGCCAATTATTTTTGATTTAACAAGTGCTAGACTTACAATATTAACATAGACTTTTAAACGAACCTGTTAGTGTTGTGTCTTAGATAAAAGGTTGGCACAGTATGGACTTTATAAGTTAATGTAATTAAATACAAGGTGCCAGGCTCACAAGGTTATGTGCTGGAGGATTAGAAGAAGAGGTGACATGTCCTAGTATACCTCACTGTCATGGCAGATGTTACAGTGGTTTTTGTCATCTGCTGGGTATTACCATCAATTCAAGATTATTAAAAAGGTTCCACATTGTCTTTAGTCAGCATTTTATTTGCAACTTTTCAGTCATCTCAGGTTCAGTTTCTTTTGGCTGCTGGTTTTCTTTTATATGGATTACACTTTCCTATTCATTCTCTTGTCTACTGACCTTTTATTAGAAATTGGATATTATGGATATGTTGGAGAGCCTTTTGATCTTCTGTTCCTCTGAATAAATATTTTGGTTTTAATAGGCAATTAATTTGGCTTAATAGGCAACTTCTTCTAGTCAGCAGTTAAGTCAAGCCCTAAACTCTGTTCTCCTATGTGGGCAGCAGCTGCAGTCTCTGCTGAGTTCTTTTAGCTTCCCAGCGCTCCTCTTTCTCTGGGCTCGGGGCTCTCCCCCATCCTCATGTAGTCAGGGGAAGGTTTGGGTTAATTTTATGCATTGGTTTTCATTCTTGGCTCCCTGTGGCTTTCTTCCTGTCAGAATTTTATCCCTAACTTTTGACCCACTCCACGAGCCTCAAACTCTGTCCTTTGACCAGTTAAGCCAGTAAGGTTGCAACTTTTTCCTGTCCTTGGATTAGGAATGCTCTCAGGGACAAAGCACAAATTCACAAACCCCACAGGATGTAGTGAATCTTTCAAGGTTAGAGTCTTCTCTAGTTTTGCCTTTTGGGTCACTCTCTAGTGCATTCAAATATGTATTTTTAATATTTTGTCCAAAATTTATAATGGTTTTGTTTGGGAAAATTAGTTTATTCAAGCTACTTTTTCATTTTACCTTGAACATTATCTTTTATAAATTAACAACTGAATATATATTTTAGTTGATACCTTACTACTTTTACTGTTTCTAATATTCAGCATAGTGGTCAAAAAAGTCTTCCAAAGTTTTAATCAAGCCTGTTATGGACGGAATAGTCCCCATTTAATGCTACCTTGGATTATAGTAGGATCAGAGTGATTTTGTAGGACAAACAGTTTTATATTGTAGTGAGGTACATATGATTTAATCTGGAGAATTTTCATATCTAAACCTAAAATTTCCTGCAAGAGTTGTATGTCATTGTAGTGGTTTTCAATCCCCCCATCATTATATGTATAATATATTTTCATATGTAACATTACTCATTAATATGATAATGCTCAATTTGTAGGAAGGTAATGGCAAATTGGGGATAGCAGTGGACAGGGGGCGGGCACTTTCCTACAGTAGAAGGGTTTCTCTCATATTGAGAGACTAACTTTGCTTGACCAAAATTGGACTACCTTCCTGCAAATTCTTTTATTTCACAGTTGTTTTATACTGTGATTGCTTCTGTGCTACCACTACTGCATATTTACAATAGTCCAAGGTACATTTTGCTTCAAATTATAAATAGCTATTAACTTTCACTTGATAGATGCACCACATAAAATATGAAGCACATTTTGGGACTCTTCACCTTGAAAATACAAATGAGAGTAATTTGACATTCATTTGGATGAGAATATTATATAGTACACAATGTACTTACAGTGCAAAAGCCTCAAAATAAGATAGAAAAGTCTTTGGATTCAAGTATATCTTCTTATTATAAATTCAGACTTTGGGAGAGAATTTTTAAGAGCAAAGTTAGATATTGAATTTCTTTAAAGACAGGAAGATTTCGAAGTCAGTTAGCACTTGAAATTAGTACTAATTAAAGTTGGAATAATTTCAGTTTTTCTGTAATGTAGTTTTTATTTAATTGTTATTGTTTTGTTTGTTTAAATAATATATCATCCAGGTCAATACACCCATGCTAGTTATTTTTAAAAATCCATATCCAGAATTCATTTTAGGCTTATTATAAATATAGGGTTTTTTTAAATGTCTTTTGCAGCCTTACTATACTGTGTTTATTGGTAATTTATTTAGATCACCTGAAACCAACTTGATATTTTGGAGCCTTCTGCATAATATAGGACAGATAACATTAAGTGATGTTCAATGACTTATCCAAGATTAGGTAATAAATGCCAGAGCTGTAATTGAGACCTAGCTCTGCTCGTCTCTAAGGCCCTTGCGTTGAACTATGTTACTCCTATATAGTCACCTAAATTTACCCTCTATATCAGGGGTGTCAAACTCATTTTCACCGGGGGCCGCATCAGCCTCGCAGTTGCTTTCAAAGGGCTGAATGTAATTTCAACTCCTTAACAGTTAAGGGGTAGTTACATTTATACAGTCCTAATATTATTTTGGCCCTTTGAAGGCAACCACCAGGCTGATGTGGCCTCTGGTGAAAAGACTTGACACCCCTGTTCTATATGCAGTTTTTTTCTTTTTAAATATGCCCTTGTATTTTCTCCTGGAACTTCTCTCAGTTTACACATGGGTTAGTCCTTATATGTATGTGAATGTTTACAGTGGTCAGGCTATCCTACTGTTTTGTTTTGTTTTAATTTTATTGTTGTTCAAGTACAGTTTTCTGCCTTTTCCCCCTCCCTCCCTCCCTCCCCTGACTCCACCCACCCTTGGTTTTGTCCATGTGTCCTTTATAGTTGTTCCTGAAAACCCTTCACCCTTTCCCCTCCTTTATCCCCTCCCATCTCCCCTCTGGTCACTGTCCATTTGTTCTTAATTTCTGTGTCTCTGGTTATATTTTGCTTGCTTGTTTGTTTTGTTGATTAGGCTATCCTACTGTTATTAAAGTTTATTTTCTAGCTTAGTTTTTAGTTTTCTAGTTTATTCTACTGTTATTCAAGTTCATATTGTAGCTTATTTTATTTTCTGAGTCCCCAGGTACTAGTCCTTGGATGTTATCGTGAGTTTTTCAGGCCTGGGCTAATGTTTTCTCCATGTTTCTCAGTGATTGGAAGTGAGTGTATTTGGGCAAAGGCTATCAGGCTTCCCCTTTCTTGACTTCCATTTATCTCTGTTCCCTCAGCCTTCTAGGCCCCAAGACAAGTCACAACTCCTGGGTCATGCTACTCTTGCTAGATTGAAAAAGGAGCTTTTAGATTTTCAGTAGTATCATGTTACTGCGTAGTACTCTTATTTTCCCATCATCTAACTTTTCAACAGAGTCATGAAAAGGAGCACATGCTCATAAAGGTTGAAGCATTAGGTAGTCCCCAAACCATTTGGTTTGCATTTAATTGAGTGCTCTGAATATTTTCAAGTCAATGCAAATTATAAATATTGAACTGACTTTATTTACGTAATTTGACTGTAGTTTGAAAGTTACTTAAAGTGCTAGTTATCCTTGTTTATGCTCTTACTGTTGTCCCAATTTTTCCCCTTTGCCCCCCCTCATCAGGTACCCCCCATCCTTGGCAATCCCCCACCTTAGTTCATGTTCGTGGGTCATGCATATAAGTTCTTTGGCTTCTCCATTTCCTATACTGTTCTTTTTTTTTCTTCCATGAATTACTTTATTATTGTTTAATTACAGTTGTCTGCATTTTCTCCCCACCACTCCCCCCCACCCCATCCAAACCCACCTTCCTATACTGTTCTAAACAACCCCATCTATTCTGTACCTACCAATTTGTGTTTCTTAATCCTGGCACCTTTCCCCCTGCTCTCCCCCTTGCCCTTCCCAACTGGTAACCTTCCAGATGATCTCCGTAGTTATGATTCTGTTTCTGTTCTGCTTGTTTGCTTAGTTTGTTATTTTAATTTGGTTGCTGAGAGCTGTGAATTTATTGCCATTTTAATATTCATAGTTTTGATCTTGTTCTTCTTAAAGAAGTCCCCTTAACATTTCATATGATAATGTCTTAGTGATGATGAATTCTTTTAGCTTTACCTATTTACTTTGTTTCCAGTAATGGTGCTAAATGATCTAATTAATTCAAATAGTTTTTAGTCTCTTTGATTCTCTAGCTGTACAATCATATCTACAGAGTTATGATACTTTTGGCTCTTTTGATTTATACTGCTTCTAAAATTTTCTTATTGTATGAGCTAGAAACTATAAATTTTATTTTCTTATTTTTCATTATACTGTATTGATTATGCTATTACAGTTGTCCTGATTTTTACCCCTTTGCTCCCCTCCACCCAGCACCCCCACTTCCTCAGGCAGTCCCCCACCATTGTTTATGTCCATGGGTCATGCATATATAAGTTTTTCTGCTACTCCATTTCCTATACTGTACGTTACATCCCCATGGCTATTCTGTAACTACCTATTTGTACTTCTTAATCCCTTCATCTCTTTACCCATTCTCCCACATCCTGCCTCCCATCTGGCAACCATCAAAACTCTCTATGAATCCATGATTCTGTCATCATAGGAGTGCCAGAAGGAAAAGAGAAAGAGCAAGAAATTGGAAATCTATTTGAAAAAATAATGGAAGAAAACTTACCTGATTTGGTGAAGGAAATAGACATGTAAGTCCAGAAAGTGCAGAGAGTCCCAAACAAGAAGGATGCAAAGAGGCCCACTCCAAGACACATCATAATTAAAATGCCAAATGTTAAAGATAAAGAGAGAATCTTAAAAGCAGCAAGAGAAAAGCAGTTAGTTACCTACAGCAGAGTTTCCATGAGACTGTCAGCTGATTTCTCAAAAGAAACTTTGCATGATAGAAGGGATTGGCAAGAAGTATTCAAAGTGATGAATAGCAGGGACCTATAGCCAAGATTGCTCTATCCAGCAAAGCTATCATTTAGAATAAAAGGACAGATAAAGAGCTTCCCAGACAAGAAAAAAATCTAAAGGAGTTCATCATCACCAAACCATTAGGATATGAAATGTTAAAGGGGCTTCTTTATGAAAAAAAAAAAAAAGATCAACACTATGAACAATAAAATGGAAATAAATACAAATCTATCACCAATCTAAAAAAAAAAACTAAGCAAACTAGAAGAACAGAGACAGAATCATGGATACAGAAAGCATTTTGATAGTTGCCAGATGGGTGGCAGGGTTTTGGGGAATGGGTGAAGAGGTGATAGGATTAAGAAGTACAAATGGTTAGTAACAGAATAGCCATGGGGGTGTGAAGTACAGTATAGGAAATGGAGAAGCAGAAGAACTTATATGCGTGACCCATGGACATGAACAGTGGTGGGGGGAACTACATAAAGGAGTAGGGGACTGCTGGATGGAGGGGAGCAAAGGGGTAAAAATCAGGACAACTATAATACCATAATCAGTAAAATATAATTTTAAAAAAGAATAAGTAAAAATAGTCAATAAATATATAATTTCTATAAGATAGGAAAATGTAAAATGAAACAACCAGGTACCATTTTTTGTTCACTAAACTCATCAAAATCTAAGCAGTTGATAAAACCAGTGCTGACAGAAATGGGTATTACTGAACATAGTCGGTGGAAACATAAGTTGTTATAGCTTTTAAAGTTTATTTGCCATCATCTCTTAAATTTTTAAGTACACAACATACTTTGATCCAAAAATACAATTCTAGGTATTTAGCCCACAGAAATAGTAGCATTTATACTTTTAGCCCTATCTGTATTTATAAATATATATTTGTATATATATTTCATTAAACTAGGAAAAAGTTGAGAAGGATACACATCAAATTGTTAATGTAACTGTTAGGAGTGGTTCCTTTGGAGTTAAAATTGAAGGACATAATTTTAATGACCTATATGTGCATATAGTTGAGCTATCATTCACATAGTATCACTATAACTTCTTACATAAGTAAATACAGTTAGTAATAGTTAAAACTACAGAAAATAAACTGATTTGTTTGAATAGTTCATTTCTTTTATATTTCTATCATTTAATTGTACTTTTCCTGAGTTTAGAAAAAATTTAAATATCCAGATACAAAGATTATTGTGAGTCAATTAACTTACCTTTTTATATACTCTTTGTAAAAAGCATTTTAACAACACTACCAAAATGGCTTTTTCTAATACAAAAGAGGCTAGTTCTGGTCCCTAGAAAGAGTACTTTTAGTAGACAACTTGGAATTTTAAAGAATTGAATATTTTAAATACAGATATTTTTAATTTGAGAATTGTATGTGCATAATGACACTTGGAATGTGGCACACTGCCATTTGGGCAGAAACTCAGTCCTATTTAATTTACACTTTTTAGTTTTTATCATAGTGAGTAATACCAGAGTTTGCTATTTCCCTTGGTTTGACTAATTCATAACTGTTATAGCATTTGGTCATTTGTTTCATCAAGATCTACAGTCCTATTTAACCCTATTTCTTTTTTAAGTGTATTTTATTGATTATGCTACTACAGTTGTCCCAGTTTTTTCTCCTCTTTCTCCCCCTCCTCCCTGCACTGCCCCTCTACCCTCCAGCATTCTTCCCCCACAAAGTTCATGTCCATGGGTTGTACATATAAGTTCTTTGACTTCTCCATTTCCTTTACGATTCTTAACCTCCCCCTGTCTATTTTGTGCCTACCCATTATGCTTCTTATTCACTGTACTTCCCCCCCCTCCATTTTCCTCTTCCTCCTCCCCACTGATAACCCTCCATGGGATCTCCATTTCTGTGATTCTGTTCCTGTTCTAGTTGTTTGCTTAGTTTATTTTTGTTTTTTTCTTTTAGGTTCAGTTGATAGTTGTGAGTTTGTTGTCGTTTTACTGTTCATAGTTTTTGATCTTCTATTTCTTAGGTAAGTCTTTTTAACATTTTGTATAATAAAGCCTTGGTGATGATGAACTCCTTTAACTTGACTTTATCTGAGAAGCACTTTATCTGCCCTTCCATTCTAAATGACAGCTTTGCTGGATAGAGTAATCTTGGGTGCAGGTCCTTGCCTTGTATGACTTTGAATACTTCTTTTTAGCCCATTCTTGCCTTCAAGGTTTCTTTTGAAAAATCAACGGATAGCCTTATGGGCACTCCTTTGTAGGTAACTGTCTCCTTTTCTCTTGCTGCTTTTAAGATTGTCTCCTTATCTTTAATCTTGCATAACTTAATTATATGTCTTGGTGTGTTCCTTCTTGGGTCCAACTTCTTTGGGATTCTCTGGACTTCCTGGAAGTCTATTTCCTTTACCAGATTGAGGAAGTTTTACTTCATTATTTGTTCAGATAAGTTTTCAATTTCTTGCTCTTCTCTTTCCAGCACTCCCATGATTCAGATGTTGGAACATTTAAAGTTATCCCAGAGGTTCCTAAACCTCTCCTCACTTTTTTGCATTCTTGTTTCTTTATTCTGTTCTGGTTGGAGGCTTATTTCTTCCTTTTGTTCTAAATCATTGATTTGAGTCCTGATTTTGTTCCCTTCACTGTTGATTTCCTGTACATTTTCCTTTATTTCACTTTTGTGTAGCCTTCATTTCTTTCTTCATTTTGGGACTGAGCTCAATCAGTTCTGTGAGCATCCTGATTACCAGTGTTGTGAGCTCTGCATCAGACAGGTTGTCTATTTCCTTATTGCTTAGCTCTTTTTCTGGAGTTTTGATCTGTTTTTTCATTTGGGCCGTATTTCTGTGTCTTGGGGCACTGTGCAGATGAATGCTTCTTTAACTCCTTGGTTGTTGGACTTCAATGCAAATGTTTTTCTGGCAGTTCTGGTTGTTCTTTGTTTTTAAATTGGTTGTTATCCTTCTTTTGGTTGTGCCAGGAAGTGAAGCATTTCTGCCTACTCCTCCATATTGGCTAGAAGTCCTCAGTCCTATTTCTGACAGTGTCCAAAATGATATGGAATGCTTCTTAATTTCAATTCCAAGAAATATTTAAATAATTTAGGTAAAATTTAGTCTTTAGATAGTTTGTTCATATATTTTCTTTAATAAATGCATTATTTTTATGTACTACTGATTTTTCTATTTAATAATGTGAGTAGTACATATTGTATTAGTGTTTTTCTGTGAGTTTAATGGAGTATTTTTTCAGGTTATTGAATATACTTTAGAACAGCTCTAAGCAAACCAAAGCCCATGAACCAAATCCTGCCCACTGCCTGTTTCTATAAATCAAATTTTATTGGAATACAGCCAAGCCCATCCATGTATGTTTTCTGTGTGGCTGCTCTCACACTACAAAGACAGAGTTAAGTAGTTGTGACAGATACTAGATGGGCCACTGAGGATTTTACAGAAAAAGTTTGCTCACCCTTACATTCCAGCATGAGAATAGTGACTGTGGATTGCCTTGCATACCTACATCCAGGCTCTCAAGGGAATCTTTGGACAAATTCTGTTCATGTTCACAAGTCATTGTAGTTAAACGTATTTATTGAGCACCAGTGTTGCGGTAAGCACAGTTCTAGGTACTGGAGACACAAGTTGGGACCAGAACAGTGAAGTCTCTGTCCTTAGGAAGCTATTACTCGAGTGTAGGAGAGATAGACAATAACCATGAACTTTCCTCTTAAAATAAGTAGATCTTTCTTGTGTTCTGATTAGATAGTTCATGAATTTGTTAACAAAATATTATGTTGACTTAAGTGTTCTTACTATGGTTGTTGAACCTTGGGATGTATGACATGGGATATACAGTCCATTGTTATGAAGACTTTATTGTCTTCATCAGTGAAGATTGTAGAGGTCACTCTCCCTGTTAGGTTATGTTGAGTTCTTAATCTATAAACTAACTTAAGTTGAGTTCCTCACTGTGGCTTGTTAGGGGGCTTAATAAATACTATACATAAAATGCATTGTATAAGCTATATGTCAGATTTTCTGTTAGAGAAATTCAATGCTAAAATAAAAATACATGATAGCTAACATAGATCAGGTACTCTCCCAGATAGTTTATATATCTTACCTCATCTATTCTACGAGTTATTATCATAACTTCCCTTTTCCAGATGATGAAACCCATGTTCAGAGAGGTGAGGTGAAACAGTTAGAGGGCAGAGCCTGCCCATGTTAGCATCTTAACTTTGCTGACTCCATGGCTGGAGCTCTTGGCTATTGTTCTGCTTAATACTTTTTGTGATTTGCAAATAACTGTTTTAAAGTTGATATTAGCATAACCAGAACATTAATTTTACTAACTCCTTTGTCCTTTTTCTTTCTTTTTATGGGGGGGGGGTATATATTATTGACATTTGAAGATAGCTACAGGAGATAATATTTTTCTCCTTCTTCTTTGAATGTGTGCCTATGTGTGTTTAAGATAATGCAATCCAGGAAAGTGGAAGAGGAGTCTGCAAAGATAAAACCCAAGTAAACATAACACAACAAGGAAGAAAGCGATTAATTTCACCAGGAAGCTCAGAAAGTATGTCTGCAGAGCAAGACACAGGAAAAAAGTACAAAAACGCTGATCAGGAAGAGTCTATTATTTCATCCAAGGTGATTTTTTAAAAAAAAATTCATTATCTGATTGTTTTCTTCATCAAGTGTTCTAGATAGGAATTAATTATATGTTGTATACAGCAAGGAAAAAACAAAATTGCTTCTTATTAGTGAGTTTATGAAGCTTATGAAAACAAATACTATATGATCTCACCTATTAGTAGAACCTAATCAACAAAACAAACAAATGAGCAAAGTAGAACCAGAGACTTCTAAATAAAGGACAAATGGACAGTGACCAGAGGGGAGGGAGAAAGGGGATATGGGGGAAAAAAGGGGAAGTGGCAAGCAAACGACATGAATAGAGGACTCATGGGCATGGACAATGGGTGGGACATTGACTGTGGGAGTGGGGAGGGCAGGGTTGGGGAGAGCAATGGGGAAAAAGGCGGGACAACTGTAACTGAACAACAATAAAAAAAAGTTGTAAGACTTATACTTACTAATTTCAAAACTGATAAAAAAAACACTAGCCCATGTTTTGTTGGCTTACTGACACAAACCTTTAATATACTATTTGGATTGTATAAAACAAAGCTATTTAATTTAGAAATTTTCTAAATTGACACTACTGTGGTTATAATTGGTACCCCCATTCTGAAAACCTGATTCCTTCTATTTTATTTGCCATTCTCAAATGACAAGTAACCATCTTTTATTCAATGAGTGTGCAGCGAAGAACAACTAATGGGCTACTTCTTAATAGCCTGTTGCAGGATTGCCTCTGAGCTAACTTACAGTGTTTATAAACCTTCTCTTTCAGTCTTTGTTAACTCACTAAATGTTTGGATGACTTACTCATTCTTTAACACTGGGTACCTAAAGAAAATGGGACCTAATTAGATGCATGTAAAAAGAGAGCAAGAGAGAGGGGAAAAAAAGAAAGACAGGCCCAGAGCCAAAAGGTCAGGTATTCTTTTCCTTGGTGGAGAGGTGGCTTTAAATGACAGTTTTCATTATCCTGTAGACCTGTATGTGAGCTCTGTGAGTCCTTACCTTTGTAGTCTCAACGAGAGCCAGAGGAGTAGGATTGGTTTTAGGATAGTGTGCACTGGAACCAGTGAAAGGCCAGTAGCATTCCAGTAGCAATAATTGTAAGGCCTTTTATAGTGCTCACTCCTGCTTTGTCTCCCATCAGATCAGTTCCAGCTTCTCTCTGGGTCCTTTCTTCCAGCTGGAAAAGTGGGGTCTGAAAACTATAGGCTCACCCTCTTGCTTGCTTTCAAAGTTTAATAAATGGAAACAAAATGTTTTCTGACTCAGTACATTGGCCATAAAATCTTATTAAGGTAAAACTTGTTTACCTTGAGTCCTAATAACATGTTCTACTATCTGAACATATTAATATAATTGCCTTTATTTTCCAGAAAGAGAGAATTTTTTTTCAGAATAAAATCTATAGTATACAGGTTTTACTATGTTTATTTCAAACTATCAGTCTGATGATCACAAATAAAATTTTCAGAAACACCTTCTTAATTGATAGATTGTAGAGGGAAGCAGAAACAGATCCAAAATATTTGAGATATTTATGAGATTTTGATGACCTTGAGGGAGCATTCAGCCAGGTCCCAGGAATGCCTGAGCTCTGCTTGGCTAATTGCTTTTTCTTGTCGTAGGGTTTCTGAGGAAACAGGAGACACCGGGCTCAATGTTTCATAACCTTTTCATGACCCTTTCTGCAGGGCTGTCTGGTAAAGCTGGGCCAGAGAAGATGTCTTAGACCGAGACCCAAGGAGACCTTTCCAAACTCACCCTCCAACCCCACCCAGGTTCAGTCTTAACACAGGCTCGCAGCTGGTCCCAAACGGACGTCTGCAGGGTGGGAGCAGGTAAAAGGGAAAGTTAAAAAAGAGTGAAAACAGGAGGCCAGAGCTCCCTATTTATAGATTAGTGGCATGAGATCGCCCAATACAAGTAACTGAGAACAATTTGACCAGGCCTGCAGATCGATTTAGTTAGAAAGGATCAATCACATTCTCCTGGGAATGAGTGAGAAAAGAGGTAGAGAGAAGGGGCAGAAATTACCTTCTCCCTACTGGGCCCTACTCCTGAGATTCTGATTCATTTGATCTGTGCAGCCTATGCAGTAGTATTATTTTAAATAAACTTTTTCAATTTTAATGTACATCAAGGTTGAGAGCTACTGATGTACCATCATTCAACACCTTGGAGGAAACTGAGGCCCAAAAACACATAGCTAGAGAGACCTTGGGCCTCAAACATGGGTCTTTTCATTTTCAATACAATGGATTTTTCTGCCATACATATTAGGCTGTCTACAAGAGTTTTGTGACTCTAGTAACTTCTGATAGTGCAGATAATTGCTCTGAAATAGTCCATTTTTCATTACGTATCTTATGTCTTCCTGCAACTCTTACCAGTTATGAAGTTATCTCATTTGGGAGTGAAAATGAGATGCTTGAACTTACAAACTTTAATGGAAAGAATGGTGTGTCCTGTGCAGAGTCTAATTGCGACTGGGTTGTAAATGACCGTAGGAAGCCTGACTAAATCAACTTCAGCAAAAGAGTATTATAAAGTGTATTGACTGTCTATTGCTGGGAACAAGCTACCCCAGCACTTAGTTGCTTAACATGACAATGATTTATTATTTCTTATAATTCTGTGGGTTGGCTGGGCTCAGCTAGGCAATTCTTTATGACACTTTCAGTGTCAGCTTGGCTGTACTCATCTGGGAGCTCAGCTGAGGCTGGAGCACCCATGGTGGCTTTCCTCACATGCTGGTGCCCCAGCAAGGGCTGATGGAGTGGCTGGGCCTCTCTCCCTCCACTTAACCACTGAGTAGTCTAAACTAAGGATCTTTCCCTGACACCTGGGAGTGAAAGTAGAAGCTTTCAGGTCTCTTAAGACCTAGGACTAGAACTGGTACATTATCATTCTGCTGGACTCTTTTGGTCAGAGCAAGTTACCTTATCAGCCTAGATTCAGGGGGAAGGGATTAGACTCCACTTGACCGATGGAGTGATTTGTGTATAAAGGAATGGGTGGGATCTGTTGGCTGCCATCTTTGATGACCATCTACCACACAAAGATATAGGAATAATTCAGTTCCCAGAATGGAAGGAAAACAGCAGGAACTATATAGATCATAGGGGCTGGTCAGGGACTTGGTCAAAACCAGGTTGGTCTATGGTTTTCCCATTTTTGCCTCTTGAGTCATTCTTTACTGCTATTGGCAGGCTTTTCCCACATGGTGCACAACACCATGTCACAGGTAGCTTTGGGCTCATGTCACCCGGATTTTTAAATTAAGAGAGAAAATGAGAGTCTCTCTGTGGTTCCTTCAGTGTTAAATTCCAGGGACTTGGATTATGGAATCTCCACTTCAACCATTTGTAGTGGTCAGAAAGATGAGTTACTATTATTACCTCTTTTTGAGTCATCCATTCATTTTCAAATGAATGAAGGAAAGAGGTCTAGGAAAGAAAAATGGTGTACATTACAGTATTTTTTTTTGATAGTACAGTTCGATTTGGGTAAATTCAGAGAGGAGGCAAAGAACAGGTTCTTAGGTTGGTCAAGATCAACCTAACCAAGGAGGAGGCTTGAAGTGCTTAGGAACAGTGGGGTACACCATAAGCAGGGGAGGGGAAAGACACTTCTTCAACCTCTTTTGAGGGAGGTATTTGATTAGGTATTGAAGGACGGGTGGCCTGTGAGCAGGTTGAGTTGGTGGGGAGGAACACTGTCAGTGAAGAGCATGGTCTCTGAGTGGGGCACAGAGGCAGGAACACACGTGCAGTCCATGAATGGGCTACACGGGAGTGTCTTGTGCATGCACGCATGGATGTGTGTGTGGGTACGGATAGGCGCGGTCAGGCAAAGAAGGTACAGAACAAATCAGGATGGTGCTTGAAAGCCAGATTAAATAAGAAAGTAGGACTGTGTTTATGGCTTCAGAGACTTTGCAAAGGGTTTTGAGTGAGAGTTATGTGGTTCAGAGCATGTAGCAGCAGTATGTGAGATGGAGGCAGGAGCTGCCTAAGAAGGTGTCACAGGACGACACAGGGAATGAAAACTGAACTAGAATGGTGGCTTTGGGACCAGAAAGAAGTAGAGAGATGTGCGTGCCATTTTGAAAACAGAATTAACAAACCTGAAGACTAACAGAATATTGAGGAGGAGATAGTGAGAATGTTCTTAACAGAGAGGAGGGGAAGCAGTGGATGTGACAGTTGGGGAAGGGGGGGGAGGGCTTTCTTGGTTTGAGGCAGGGATGGCATAGCTATGAAAGCCATCTGATAGACAGAAAGGAAAGTCTGTCTCACAGGGGGAAAAATGAGAGCTAGAGAGTTCTGTTATACCATATTATGTGGAAGCAAACTTACAGATATTTTATTCAGAGTATATAAAGCACATACGGAGGTAGATGCTTCAGCAGTGAGAGCCACGTCCAGATATCCCGCCTGCTCTGTCCTGTCTGTGCAGCTTCCCGCTGTGACCATAATTGCTGAAGCAAATAAGCTGGCTGTTAAGTGTCTCATTTCTCCATATACAGATGCCTGCTGTGGAGTCTTAACTCATTTTTCTTCATGGAAACAGCAGGGGAGATGCAGACTGTAACACCTATTTATACAGCTATTTCTTAAGAAAGGGTGTATCTCCTACAGCTCACGCAGTATTGGTTTACCAAATCCAAGAATCTTATACCCTTTGCTCCTGATTGGTTGCTTGGAGTAGTACCATTTATAGCATAGCTCTGATCAGTCGCATAGAAGTATCTTTTTATTTATCACTCATTCATGCACTCAGTAAGCATTCATTAATGGTAATAACATAGTGTCATCAATTATATTATTAACGACAACAAAGAAAAACAAACAAAATACAACCATGCTAGGCTAGACCCAGCACTAAGATATACTTATTTTAGTAATTTTTAGAAAATCCTGGAAAGTAGGTTGATTATATATCTAGTTTATAAATTAAGAGACCTAAGATTCTGCCCTGGCTGGCGTAGCTCAGTGGATTGAGCGCAGACTGGGAACCAAAGTGTCCCAGGTTTGATTCCCAGCCAGGGTACATGCCTGGGTTGCAGGCCATAACCCCCAGCAACTGCACATTGATGTTTCTCTCTCTCTCTCTCTATCTCCCTCCCTTCCCCTCTAAAAATAAACAAATAAAAAATCTTAAAAAAAAAAGAGACCTAAGATTCTGAGAGTTTAAATCAGCTTGTTCAAGGTTAAAGGTTAAGAGATAGCAAAGCTGATATTCACAATCTGACTTACTTCAAAGAATATTCTAATAATCATTTGTATAACAGTTTTTCTATCGTATGCAAGGTAGTGGGCTAGAATCTGGGATTAAAAGATGTATAAGGCAGAGTTAATAAGGAGCTCATAGTCTTGTGGGAGACATGATTTGAGTCATAAACTAAAGTGTTCACACATTGATTTTTATGGGAGCTTTGAGGAGGATTGCCTACACCAGCTGCAGGGTTCCTAGGGCAGGGTTCCTAAAAGAAAGGAGTGAGCTGAATCTTAGCAGAAGAGCCATAGGCATGACCTAGGTTCAGAAGAGTCCATCCCAGGAAGATGGGGCAGCAGGTATAAGAGCAGGGGTATACAAATAGTATGCTAGGAACTATTGTTTTTAGAATTCCTAGTGCAAAGTCAGGAGGCAGTGTGAGATGAGGGTGAAGCCAGCATTGGGGATAGTTGATAAAGGGAGGACTTCGAGATGTTTTCAGCCACAGGGATAATCCTGGCAGCTCTGTGGAGGAGAAATTGGAAGAAAACAATATAAAAGACAGCAGGGGAAGTGGGGGTAGTTGAGAAGGCCTGGCTGGCTGCAAAGCAGAGGGTCGCTGGTTCGATTCCCAGTCAGGGCACATGCCTGGGTTGCAGACTAGGTCCCCAGTAGGGAGCACATAAGAGGCAACCACACATTGATCTGTCTCTCCCTCTTTCTCCCTCCCTTCCCCTCGCTCTAAAAATAAATAAAATCTTAAAAAAAAGGGGGGTGCAGGGAAGAGGGAGGAGATCAGGGTATCAACACAGTCAAGAAATAAAGAGAGAAGAACCCAGGGCAGTAATGTTAAGGATGATGCTAAGGCATTGGATTAGAGAAATATTTTGGAAGCGGAACTGCAGGACTTGTTGCTTCGATCTGAAAAAAGTAAAGGAAAGGAGGAGGAAAGATAGACTTCCGAGGTTCTGGTTAGAATGAATGGATAAATTATGTTGGCCACAACTATTGTTCTGAATACAAAGAGAGGATTTCAATTTTGACATTTTGAGTTTGAGGTGCATTACATATTGGAGAAGAAATGTTAAGCTAGTGGTTGAATAAATATGAGTTTAAAGCTGAAGACTGAAGTTGGGGCTAGAGTTTAGGATTGTTTTGTCTTTAGCATGTGGGTGCTAATGGAATTGATGCAGGACAACTTACTAGTATGGACACCCTTTCCAAGGGCAGCTTGGAAACAACAATGAATTACCTCACTGAATTTGCATTGCAGGGAAGGTTTTTATCCTGTCCTTTGTAATACATAAAAACTTCTGAGGGTAGAAGGATGGGAAGGGCAAGTTAACGGACTATTTTAATAACCTTAATAATACATTCCAGCCCCTCAAGCACCGAGGTCTCCTTTAATAAGCTCCATGCTCCTCCGTCCCTGAGGTCTCCAGCACATATTTTACAGTGCAGGGGATCTGGCCTCTGGATAATGAGTCTCTAGCCTCCCACACTTCATTCTTCACATTTTCATCTAATCTAAGAAATAAGAAATGTGAGTACTTATAAAATATGGAGCTCTCTGCCTTTTCCCTACTTCTTCAAGTGCAAAGTACCTTCTGTTTCTCTTGTTCCTCACTTGCCAGTTCACTTGCTCTGACTCATGAGCTTTGTAATTGGCATGGTACAAATTTATGTCTCAGCAAACTTACAAATTACTGCATGTAATGGATTTTGGGGATGATTTATAAATAATTGAAACCATCATTGTTAAATTCTTGAATGCCAAGGGTCTACTGAATATCAATATTTCATGAAGTTCTATAAAGAACATTATGAATTCTAGCTTTGGTGACTCTTAAAATAGTGTATTTGAGAACCCCCTGACCCACAGCATTGATATATGTGAATTTACAGTTTTTCTCTTTTAGAATAAATTAGTGTGTTAAACATATTTCTTATGAAAAATTTTTTTAAGATTTTTTATTTATTTATTTTTAGAGAGGGAAGGGAGGGAGATAGAGAGAGAGAAAAACATCAATGTGTGGTTGCTGGGGGTCAAGGCCTGCAACCCAGGCATGTACCCTGACTGGGAATTGAACCTGCAACACTTTGGTTCACAGTCCACGCTCAATCCACTGAGCTACGCCAGCCAGGGCTTGAAAATGTTTTTTTTTAAAAAAACAAATCCTTCTTATTTCGTGTAAGTAGAGGGAGTTGAAATATGATGCCAGACATTTCATGTCTTATATTTCATTTCATTTTCTTTGGTTTGTTTTTCATTTTTTAAAAGCAAAAGGATACATACTTGTTGAGAAAAAAGACTATTCAGAAGCACATAGAATAAAAAGTGAATGTCTTGATTTGTATCTTAAACCTTCTCATTTGAATTTATACAAGTAAGTACCTGCACAGCTTTATAGGGAATTTTTTTTTTAAAAAAAGTTAAATGGAATCACAGTACTACATATATTATCCTTATTTAGTTATAGATCCTTCCTTCCTTCTGTCCTTCCTTCCTTCCTTCCTTTCCCTCTTCATGCATTCTAATTTATTTAGCTACTTCTCTACCTGTGTCCTTTTTTCTTTTTTTCCTGTAATAAGTGTGAAGGATGTTAGTAGGATTTCTTCTCCTATTGCCCCCAAACTGTTCCTGGGGCCCTAGGCTGGGGACAGAAGTGCTAAGCATTTTTCATGTTTGAAAGGAGCCCTCAGCAGAGAGAGCCAGATCTTTCCCAGTGGGCTTATTGAAAGGTGTGTTAACTGGGCCGCCTACAGGCTGTACGCAAAGAGAACTGAGAGACGAGAAGGATTTAAGACTTGGGGAAGTGCTATGTTTGTGGGGAGAAGTATTTTTCTCTCTTTTTCTAAAATCAAGAAAAGAGGAACGCTCTTAAGAGAATTACTTGTGGAGTTTAGAGATGCCAGCAGGAAGGAGAGAGTGGCAATTAATTGGACATCTGCTTGGCCAGTGGATTTGCTGATGTACCTGCCTCATTAGTACCTGAATATGCAAAAACAACAACAAAAAACTTGTGAGAATTGACCCAGCGGGAGATTGCTAAGCGGGGAGGTGGGCCAGGACTGCCCCTTCCCCCCAAAGAGTCCCAGCCTCTGGCAGGCGTCAGTTGGTTCTACAGCAGCAGCAAAAGAGATGGGGGTGTGGTTGAGCAGCTTGGGAGGAAAGAATCTGTGTTTTAGAGGATGTCGTATAAATGTCACCAGCTGAGGGTCAGCTCCAAGAGGTATCCAAATGATTGCTTTTCCTATAAGTTATTCATTACTATACAAGAAACATGATAAGACTTCGGTTCCATTTATAAGGTATTTAGTCATTTGGTATAGTATATACTGTACCTTTATATAGTATAGTAAAGTATATACTATACTATATTAAAGTTATATACTGTGTTTCTTTTTAAAAAAGAAAAATATTAAAATACAAGTAACTAGTCTAAGAGAAGTAATAATGTTACTAATGTTAATAATATCCCCTCAAGAAATTATAGCTGTTAGGAATTAGGTAATATCAAAACCAGCCTTTTCCAGACAGCAGCTGGTATTCATGAGTTCTTAGTTATACATGGGGGTGAGCATTCATGTGTATCTGGTCTGTGGTCATGACTTCCTAGAAATGGTTCCCAAGAGGGCTGGGGTGTATCTGAGTAGTGTTTTTATTCCACAGGAAGTATGAGTGAGTAAGAGTCATTTTTAATAGGATCAGACTAGGTTTACTCTGTGTTGGCAGTAAGTCAAATTGAAACGATTCTTAGTGCCAATGAGAATATTCACTTGGTTCAAGACACCTCTGATTAGTTAAACTGAAACTGTTATTCAGACCATGTCAAAGGAATCATGTTTACTTTCTGAGTTAGTCATAACATAGCTTCATGTAATTTTTTCTGTGAGAGAAGAGCAATTTATCAATCAGCTATAGAAAAAAACATGATTATATTTAGATGGTAGAAATAAAGTATTATGGTAACTTACAAGAAATTAAAAGAACAGTGCATGTTAAATGTATGACACATTGTTAAACAGAAAATTTAAGAGATTAGGAGGCCTTTTGAGAAAGATTATATTCAAATGAAAGCAAATGTTGTATTTGCTTATATTTCATTTGCACTTTTGGTTATTTTTCACTGAATGTTGGACATGATTATAAAGGTTTGACACAACCAAAAAATCTTTTTCTAATAATTGTATTATTCTAAAGTTATTCAACTAGAGACATAGAAAGTGGTACTTTTAATAACTTTAAAGTAAATCTTGAAGTTTTAAAAAATATGTATTGCATGAATCTTGTAGCTTCATGCTTTTATTCTTAAATTTACATATTGCTTTTGAAACATTTCACTTATTTTTTTCTGATTTGTCATATAGCAAATGCCACAATCACTTTCTGCGATCACATTAAGTAACACAGATACGAATAACATGAAGACTTATGCACAGAGAAACAAAACCCCAACAGAGGAACTTGGTAAAGTTCCTGAACATAAAATCATCGCTAAAGGAACACTAAGGAAAGAAGAAGCAGTGAGCCGCTCGGAGAGCTGTTCGAGTGCCCAAGGCCCATCCTGCCATAGTGAGTCTCAAGGATCTCATCCCGAGTGCAGCTCTGGTCCTGCCGACCCCGAGATTTTGCATGCTAAGGCAACTGATTCAGTTCTACAAGGTTCTGAAGAAAACAAGGTCAAGAGGACATCCTGCATGTATGGGGCAAACTGCTACAGGTAAAATGAAAGTATGGGTAATATATAATTCCATTATTTCAACAGCATGTAGCTATGTAGATATATGTTATCGTGTATTAAAAGCCAGAAAAAAAATACATTGGACTAAAGCTTAGGAGCTTTTTTATGTGTCTACTTGGTACTTTCTCAGTATGCATTCCTGCATATTCTGCTAGAGGTTTTTAAGTATTAAATGTTTCACATGCTGATTAATGCAAGGATCTGAACTGTGGAATCCAGACTTGAAAATTGAATCACTCAGACCCAAATACCTGCTTATTTTAGTGTCTTATTTAAATATTAGAAAGATGGCTTCATAAATAGCTGTCATATACATTAGAATTTTAGAGTTAGAACTATCAATAGAATTTTAGGTTGTGTTCAGGCATCTTATTATACTTATGCATTTTCCCCTATATTTTTCTAATTGTACTTTTGGATCACCATGATGCATTTTAAAACAACTGAATATATATTTCCTGGCTCAGTTGGTTACTTCTATACTTACTTCATTTGATTACATTGTGGCATATTTTCTAACTCATTTTGTAAATTCAAATTACTTTCCCTCAGTTTTAGGCTATAGTTTCATCTAGAGTGTTTATACTACAATGTTTGTAAATATGCAGTCTTATTTCAGAAGCATTTCTTTCCCATTCCAACATGCGAAGCCAGCTATTTCACCATGCATTCCAGTAGAGTTTGTTGTCTTCTATGCAAGAGTATGTCTGTATCACATACTCTGTTAACTTCACATTCATATTCTCTCTCTTTAAAACGCCTTGCCATTTCAGCACTTGAATAACAATATTTTTCCATTTCAACTGTTAGAATTTATGCATTTATTCACAATTTTGTCCATTTTAAATGGCCTTAGTTCCACATGTTGAACATAATTTGTAAACGTGTAGAAGTATATAAACCTTCTACAAGTTTAGAAGGTTTGGTATTCACATTAGTTCACTAGGGCTGCCGTAACAAAATGCCACTAGGTGGCTTACACAACAGAAATTTATTATTTCACAATTCTGGAGACCGGAAGTCCAAAATGTCAGTGTTGTCAGGTTTAATTTCCCCTGAGCCCTTTCTCCCTGGCTTGTAGATGATCTCCTTTCCATTGTGGCCTTACAAGGCCCTTTATCTGTACGTACACCTTTCTGACTCTCTTCCTTATCTTATAAGGACCAGTCATACTGGATTAAGGCCCTGCCCTATGACCTTATTTAATCTAAATTATCTCCTTAAAGGCTCTCTCCAAGTACAGTCATCTTGGGTGCTAGGACTCCAACACCTGAACTTGGGGCTGTGGACGGGACACAGTTCAATATAAACAATATTCAACACCTGCATTCGTCTTTGTTAAAGGTGATTGAATGCTTTATCAAGATACTAATAAATTCATTTATATTTGATGATGATACATGCTAGTTTGAATCAATCATAGCTTGTGAATAATTATTTTAATGTTTTGATAATTTTGATATGCATGATTACTACTTAAGAAATATTACCACTGAAATCTTGAAAACAAAATATATATTATTTGTGACAATGGGGAGAAGATAGTATATATTGAGTTCTTGTCATATGTGTACATCATAATCATTTAAATGTGTCTCTTCTCCAGCCTAGGTGCCACTGCTTTATTTCATGCCATAGTCTCTCTGGGACAAGTGAATAACCTCCTAAGTCTACACTTTCTTTCAGATTCACACCCTTCATTGTTGCTTGAGTGATCTGGCTAAGGAAATAAAAACAAAGATAAAAAAAGAAGAGAAGAGAGGAAAAAATCTGGCAGTATTTACTTTCCTATACAGAATCTTTTAGCAGGTGAAGTCTGGGTTTCTCAGGGCAGTCCAGATGACCTCCCATTGATTCTCTGGATGCGCCGTACTGTTTGATGTCCTTGGGACACACTGTTCCCTTTTCTTGATCCCGTCCTGCTTGAAGATCTTGCTTACTTTCAGCCCCTTTGTTTTCTGACATGCCCATTCTTCCCCAAATTGCTCATCCTCTATTCCATGCAAGCTTTTCCCCCATACAATTGCTAATATTTGGCATTAGATTTAGTATTTAACACTAATTATTGATTTCTGATTATTTATTTACATGTTCTATCCCTCTTAGTAGAAAACTATACCTTAAGGGTGGTCTTTTTTAATCCTTTGATATCTTGCTTTTGCCTCCCAAATCTATATCTCCAGCACAGATTTCTGTACTGAATTTTAGATCCACATGTGCACCACTGTGACCACTTCAAATTCAACATGCCTAAAGCAGTCTCATCTTATTTCAATCCTTTGTGAAACAAAGTAACAACAAAATAGCAACTGTTGCTTCCAAAACAAGTATCTTTTGAAATTTCTACTCTTTTGGGGTCATTTAGTTTTTCGGCTAGGTAGCATATAGTTTTCTAGTAAATTGGTTTTAAAATTTGAGCAGAAGTTGAAGTGTCTCTTATTAGCATGTAAGAAATTTGTACCTTTATTTAAATTTGTAGCTTTTGTCTATATAGGGGGCATATAAATTATCTAGGAGTTCATGGTGTATACAATAAGTTTTTACTCTGGTAAAGGCAGGGTGTCTTGCTGAGGACCAGCCTCCCACTGAGAACAACTAGGAAAACTGAACATTCATGTTTGCGAACATCAGAGACAGCCAGGACTTTGAGGCCTCTCTTCCCCTGGATCAGTTGCCTATTTTGTTAATGACTCAGGTTGAGGGCTGAGAGGCCAGCTGGAGTTTTGGCACTCTCATGGGACTTAGGCAACAAAACTGCAATTCAGTGTCTGCCTAGCAGGAGGATCCCTGTATGGAAGCATGGACATTCAGGATGGAAAATATGAACATAAATATAAATGAATATTGACTATGTAAAGCAATAATAATTTTTGTGTTGTGTAAAATATATATGAAGTTCAAGTATATGAAAATCTACCCTGGCCAGTGTGACTTGGTTGGAGCATCATCCCATGGACTGGAGGGTCGCAGGTTAGATTCCCGGTCAGGGCACATGCCTCAGTTATAGGTTAGGCCCTCTCTTGTGACACATGAGAGAGGCAACTGACTGATGTTTCTCTCTCACATCGATATTTCCCTCTCTCTCCCTCCCTTCCCCTCTCTCTAAAATCAATAAGCATGTCCCCAGTTGAGGAATGTGTGTGTGTGTGAATGAAAATAGCACAGAAGTGTTTGAGTGTTAAAGCAAGTAAAATTTGACTACTCTAGATACATCATAGAATTGGAATCACACAGCATTTGTCATTTTGTGACTGGCTTATTTTACTTAAAATAATGCCCTTAATGTTTATCCATGTTGTAGCATGTGTCAGAATTTCCTGCCTTTTTAAAGCCCTGTAATATTTTACTGTATGCATAAATCACACTTTGTTGATGCGTTTGTCAGTGGACACTTGGGTTTCTTCCGTCTCTAGGCCATTGAGAATAATGCTGCTATGAACATGGGTGTGCAAATGACACTTGAGGTCTTGCTTTCAGTTCTTTTGGATATTTATGCAGAAGTAGAATTGCTGGATAATATGGTATTTGTATTTTTAATATTTGGGGGAGCCACCATACCATTTCTCATGGCAGCTGTACCATTTTACATTTCTGACAACATATACAAAGTTTCCAATTTCTCCACACCCTTATCAACACTTGTCATTTTCTGTTTGTTTGTTTATTTGTTTGTAGTACTAGCTATCTATCCTTATTGGTGTGAGGTATAATATGTTATTGTGTTTAATTTGCATTTCTGTACTAATTAGTGATGTTGAGGGTTTTCCCACATGATGATGGTTGGCCATTGTATATTTCCTTTGGAGAAATGTCTTTTCAAGTTCTATTTCCATCCTTGAATTATTTATTTTTTTGGTCATGGAGTTGGAGGATTTCTTTATATATTCTAAATATTAGCCATTATTAGATACATGGCTTGCAAATATTTTCTCCTGATTTTGAAGATTGCCTTTTACTCTGTTAATTTCTGTCCTTAGATGCACAGAAAATTTTAATTCTATTGTAGTCCCATTTATCTATTTTTACTTTTGTCTTTACATTTGGCAAGAAATCTTTGCCAAATCCAGTGTTGTAAAGCCCCTCCCCCATTTTCTTCTTAGAGTTTTATATTTCAGGTCTTAGGTTTAGGTTTTTGATCCTTGCTAATTTTGTATATAGTTAGAGAGGCTCCACCTTTATTATTTTGTATGCGAATGCCTAGTTTTCCCAACATCGTTTGTGGAAAAACTTATATTTTCCCCCATTGAATGGTCTTGACACCATTGTTGAAAATCATTTAACCATTTTGTGAGGGTTTATTTCTGGGCTCTCTGTTCACTTTCATTTGTCTATAATCCTGTCTTTATGTAGTATGACGATTTTGATAATTGTAGTTTTATAATAAATTTTTTAAAAGATTTTAATTATTTATCTTTGGAAAGGGAAGGGAGGGAGAAAGAGAGAGAGAGAGAGAGAGAGAGAGAGAGAGAAACATCAATGTGCGGTTGCTGGGAGTCATGGCGTGCAACCTCAGCATGTTCCCTGACTGGGAATCGAACCTGCGACACTTTGGTTTGCAGCCCACGCTCAATCCACTAAGCTACGCCAACCAGGATGTTTTATAATAAATTTTGAAGTCAGCAAATGTGAGATCTCCAGCTTTTTTGTTCTTTTATAAGATTGTTTTGGCTCTTCAGGGTCCCTTGAGATTCCATATGAATTTCTTCAAAATATGCCACTGGGATTTTGATAGGGAATGAATTATGTCTCTAGATTTCTTTCGGTAATGTTGACATCTTAACAATATTAAAACTTCTATTCCATAACCATGGGGTGTCTTCATATTTATTTGTGTCTTCTTTAATAGAAATTAAACCAGTGTACATGTCTTTCATCTCTTTATTTGTAAATATTTTATTTTTATTTTTAATGTTTTATTGTTTATGCTATTACAGTTGTCCCATTTTTCCCCATTGCTTCCTCCATGCAGCCCTCCCCCA